AATGTATAATGACATAGGAAATATCATGGAAACAGAGCAAATTAACAGAATCTGAAACAATTCAGTTAATATAATATAGGACATCAGATTAAATGACAATTCAGGTCATGATACAGGCCGTTTGTCATAGGAGTCATCAATCAAAAGCACGACGAAACATCCATGATGTAAAAATGGGTAACAGAGTGAAGGGATTTGGGATTATTGGCTGTTCAGAGACCTGATAAAAACTGCCAGCAATACATACATTGGCTGCTGTTTAATAGTTGCATTGTAATAGTAGTAGTAGTAGTCGTAATAGCCATTAATGTATTGTCTTTACAAAAGAAGGTTTTCTATTGCTGTATCTTATGCAAAAGTCTTGCCTTCTCACCAAATGGTCTTGCTCCATAGTTCTAGCTACTGATCCTGGTGATTCAAGAATAGAAATTTCATATCAGAACACTTATCATCAACCGGGCTGTGTGTTCAGAGTATATGTTTGAGGATAGGAAGGATTGCTGACTACCCCCAAATTTGTGTTATCATTATGTGTTGGTTATTCTTCTGTTCATCCTCTCTGTCATTGCCATTTAGTAATATTCCCACTTCCTGTTTTAATAGCAGGGTGTAGTGGAGGAAGTGTTCTGGTTTTACGACACCACCCACCATGGTATTTATTAAGGGGAGAAAACCCACTCCATTTGTACAAACCAGTATTACCAAAAATGAAATAAAATGTTGCCCTTAGTCTAGACAACCACATCCTTAATAGCCTTGTTAAATAATCTTTTTTTCAATAATCATGTTTTCCCCCCAGAGCTGAGGCAGATGGATAATGTCAAGTACTGTTGACTAAGCACCATAGTCTTACAGATGTAGAAAGGAGCTAAACATAACATTTAAGACACAAGTGAAGATCCGTCATTTTCAACAAGCCTGCCCAGAGAATTTTAATGACGAATTTTCAACTTCCACTCTATGTCTAACTTTTGTTTTTGTTTTTGTTTTATTTTAATATGTATTTTATAGAAATATATTGTAATATGTGTATTTTATGGAGTGTTTTTAAATGATGTGTTTTGATTATGTTTTTTGTAGTTTTGTAACCTGCCTTGAGCCATGAGGAGAGGTGGGTAAGAAATAATAATAACAATATTTATTTGCTTTATTTCTGTACCGCATTTTTCAGCCTAAGTCGGCGACTCAATGCGGCTCAATAATAGCGTCTGGTCAAAGGAAATTTAGCATAATGCCAAGTTCTTAACTTTGTTTGTGGTTTATTAATATATTATCCCTATATTCTCAATTCACACTTGACACGATAAATAAATAAGTTCCCATTACAAGTAACCAGCATAGTCAGTGCTATGATACTGTGGAAGCTGCTAGCTAGCATCATTTGGATGGTTATGTTTTTCACCTTGGCATTATGTTATGTCTATTAAATAACAAGATTTTTTGGCATAGTATATGTCTCATTATGCTATTGCAAAATGGCTATTATCATCTGATGGTCTAGTGGTATTCTGTTTATTGTTTATACTGTATAGCAATTGTGCCTTTTTCTTGAACCTGTAAATTGCATTGTTTAATTTTTATTTTGTAGTCTATGTTGTTGTAGAGAAGTAGAGCAGAAAATGCTGGGTGCTTAAGATGATCCCATTTATGCACACAATCACTCAAGATGGAACTAGTCGGCCCCCAAATTCCACAGATATTAGTGGCAAATACAAATATCTAAAGCTGACATAAACATGCATACAAAATATTTTCCCGCTAACTGGCCAGAACTTTCCTTTCCTGCAACACCACAATATCTCTACCTTGTTCTGACATCTCTTCCGCTGGATCTGTGTTGTCTCTGCTGGTCTCCAAGCCTACTCCCCTCCACCTACTCCTTGTCACCCAAACAGGTTGCTAGGAGATGGAGGAACTTGGGGACTGCTTGAAGTGACAGAGGTTCAGCAGAAATAGCCTGGGAGTAAGGCAGAGGGACTGTGATGCATAGGCAGGGAAGGGAGGTATGGACTATGGCTATTGCTGGGAAAGGAATTGGAAAGCCGGAGAAGGGCGATAAGGATGAGACACCGCTAATGCACCAATCCTGGTAGAAATAGGACCTTTTCTAGGACTTTTCTAGCTTAGGTTACATTTAAGTGGCAGCTACAAATTTGTGAATGATCAAATCCCTCAACATTAAATCAGTGAAAGTTGATGGCAGACTGTATGATAGACGATGGGTAATTAATTATTATTGAAATCAGTAATGTAATGAGCCTCTACTTGTCTAGTCTACTAGTATTCCACCAAGTCCTGCGATGTCACTGTGCTTCCTCAATTGTTGGCTACCACTTTCTAATTATGAAACTTGAAATACATGGATGTCATGTCATATTCTTTGTATTTCTAGGGATGGAAGAAATTTAAGTGCTACACTTCTTTTTTTGAATCTCCCATAATACCTAGTGGTGAGATAATGGGATTAGCCTATGAATCACTATCAGTTGCCACCCAACATGCATTTTGAATGTATCAAAAGAGAATGGGTGTCAAACAGTAACAATGCTGTACTTCAATGGTATAATTTATTAGGATCATTTTATTTTTAAATAAAAAAGATTATCTATAAATGCAGGTTTTCTTCACTACATCAAAGAAAAGTTGTCTTATCTAACAATAAAAGCAATTAGGAGAATGCTTTTTAGTTCCACGTATAACCGCCTATGCTTTTTGTTGACGCATTTCATTGTGCTTCTTCTTTCTAGTGTGCATATTTGCCCCCCACACTAGCGTCTGTTATAAAACAGTACAGAATAAAATTAGGTCACTTCTAATTATTGGGAATATATCCAATGCAACAATATTCACTCTGGTTTGGGAAATAACAGGATGAAATAATATGGGCTTATGATTGAGGCAGATTAAGTTCCAGGTTGTAAAAATTAAGAGATATCCAACTACAGTATTTGTAATAATAGTAATTTCGTTCAAAGGACCTCCAAGGTTGTCAACATGTCAAGGATTATTTTTAATATATAGCTGAGTGGCTCAAGACAAGTAATCTTGAGCTGGTGGTATTTTCTTTTGATCCTATGACTGGACACATCAAAAGCAAAAACATAACACTTTCAATAGCTGCATGGGGGAGGGAGCTTGTGTACAGGTTGAGCACTGAAGATCAAGGAGTACCATACTTTTTTACTTGTGAGTTCTTTGTATATTCAACTCTGTATATATATATATATTTAAAATCTGTAGCACTTTAACAGTATTTTTTTTCTTGGACCTATCCTTCTTTATCAGCTACTCTACCTTCTCTTTCTTTCTTAGGATTCTTTGAGATGCATTGCTTTGCGCACCAGGAGTTAGTTCGGTTATGATTTTGAATATGTATTTGTGTTTCCCATGTTCAGGGACAGCAGGAATGGAATAGAAAATTGAACTATTCTATTCTGACTAGTTAATGGCCATTAGTTTTAACTTATTTATTTATTTATTTATTTATTTATTTATTTACCACATTTATGTCCTGCCCTTCTCAACCCCAAAGGGGATTCAAGGCGGCCTTACAAAGGCAACAATTCAATGCCATATATTAATCCATCAGTAAATAAACAATAACATTAAAACCAAATGTATTAAAAACATAGCATTAAAACATCAATTAAAATCACATGATCCAAATTGTATTCCAGGACCAGTCCGAGTAATCAATATACTAATTTGTAGTCTCATATTGCACTACTCCTGTTACTGGCCAAAGGCCTGATCCCAGAGCCATGTTTTCAGTTTTTTTTCCTGAAGGTCAGAAGGAATGGAGTAGATCTAATTTCACTGGGGAGGGAGTTCCATAGGTGAGGGGCCACCACTGAGAAGGCCCTGTGTCTCATCCCCACCAGTTGCACTTGAGAGGGGGGTGAGATCAAGAGCAGGGCCTCCCCTGACGACCTTAACCTCCGAGGTGGGTCATAGAGGGAAATACATTTGGATAGATAACTTGGGTCAGAACTGTTTAGGGCTTTATAGGCTAAAGACAGCACTTTGAATTGTGCTCGGAAGCAGTCTGGCAGCCAGTGGAGCTGACATAATTAGTATGGTTATAGATCTCTGACTAAATAGTATGCAGGAGAAATTGTTCTTTCAGGTATATTGGTTGCTACACAACGCCTGTTCAAAGAAGAACTTTCTCCATCAGCAAATTTTTGGCTATGCAGTACTGCTAATGCTTTCGTAATGCATATGTTTTGAAGTTGTCTCATAGTAACTACATTTTGAGAGGAACTAGTCACATGAGTAAATTCAATTTTGGAAAGTTATTGGATATTCAGGGATGGTAATGCTCTTTTGAATTATTTACCTGGTTTCTTTGGAATTAAGGAATGCCTAATTGATTGGATTTTTCATGCTTTTTTGACTGCTAAAAGATGAATCATTTCTTACTGGAAAGATCATTGTGATCCAATGACTAGAAGAACTAGTGATGCTCACAACATTTGAAAGAATGATGTATAGATAAAATTGGCAAATGGACCTTTAAATAAGCTTTCCAATGTTCTAAACCCATTATGGGGATGGGTTCAATACAGTTGATAATACTTCAGATTTTGTGTTTTAAGGTTTGTTCTCATCCCATTGACATGGAAGTCATCAATCATCACTACCAGTAATGCTCAAGTGATGTACAGACATGATGGGCTAATTTCCATCAATTTATTCTCGGTGTGATCTAGCCATATATTGGTTCATGCAATCATTTCTTAGCTAAGCTGCCTTTAGTTCTGTGAGCTGTATTGAACTGTCTGCAATTTGTTGTCCAAATAACACTATCCTTATTACATGTTCCAGATTGTTCTTGTTTTTGTGTGCATGTCCGCTTAGTCACAAACTGCCTTGCATATTAAATAGACTTATAGTGCTGAAAGTGTTTTCAACATAAGCAGATGTCTTATGTTTGCCTTTTATGCTTGTGTTGAGGTGGTTGTATTACAAATCTTATGCATTGTTTTCTTCTCCATCAGTCATATAGTCTTGATGCTGGCAGATGATATGGCTTGCAACCCACGAAATCCAAGTCCAGCTACTGTGTTTAGTCACAAAAACATGGAATTGAATGTCTATGGAGATGACGTGGAAGTGGATTACAGAAGCTATGAGGTACTGAGAGAGTTCAGAAAAGAGCATTACTACTTGAAATTGATTATTGATGGGATGTCCATTGAGAATGTGGTCTTCACCACCATCTCACTTTGTTAGTAAATGACTCTTAAAAGTACCAGATCAATAAGCATGTCAATGTATTTTTGAAATAAATAAATGTGATTTTTGAAAGAAGCTATTCAACTACAAGCATAGTTCTCTAATTTTAAATTGCAGGACTGTTATATTGAAATGCTTGATAAAGTGGTAAGAAACGATGTTGAGGGTTGAAAATATGTAGCATTTGTAAATATTAGTGTTTATTGGCATGTGAAGTGTACTTTATTAAATATCCTTCACATTTCACAATTATGAGTAAGTGTAATAGCTTTCAAGATTTTATCTCATAGGAACATATTATATTAGAAGCCTTATGGTATGTTGTTGACTTGAGACTAGTCCTGTTGCATTTTCTGTTCCTCATTTCAAGGAGAGGAAGTAGATTTTTGTTTTTTACCGGAGCCCATTAAATCACGTCTTATCATGCTGACGCCATTTTGCTATAGCCATATGATATTAATTTTGGAAATAAGTTTAAAACTATTGCATGTGTACATCAGCTAATACTTTTCTGACTTTGTCATTTTGGATTAAGGAACTCTTTGTCAACTTTAACATTTTTCTTTGTTTGTCTGCTGAATTTGATTCTTTTTCTTTCTAGGACATATGCCAACAGGTTATTTGATAAGCTTGAGTTATATTTTAAATAATAAGCTTAAAGGATTTTAAATACAGTTTATTTTTTTAAAATAACAGGAGTCAGTAATTATTTTAAAATACAAGGAATAATTAATTGATACGAACTCTTAAGCTTCTACACTTGTTTTGGAAAAATGGAAATTTGGGAGGGAATAAGTCTTAAGTTAATTGACTTCTCTTGAAGCAAGAGCTAAAGTTATTGTTCTGTAGAAGGAGAAAGCTGAAGTTCATTCAAAATTACATACAATGTGAGGAAGTAATTTAGTAATAAGAGCACTTTAGGCATCTCAGGGGCTCCGATAAGAAAGCATTTACCCAGCTAAATGATTCTGGACACATTCAAAGTTAATGGGTGAGGTGTATGTGTCTTGAATGTTACAAAGTTCCCTAAGAAATTAAGAAATTGTTCTAATGGGCACAGCTATAAAGTTTCACTATATCTTTTGGAGAAATTGTAAATATATTTTCCATCCCTGAATAAACATCTTGATGTATGGATCAAAAGATGTTCTTCTGTAGGAAGAAATTTACAGAATTGAACTGTTATGACGTGTGTGTTGAGATTTTGAATTCAGGTAATCGCTGTCACGAGCCTGATTAAGAGAGCATTTTTGAGCCTCATAAATCTGTATTCAGGCTTAGCAGATGTGGTGTTTCATAGAAGTTTTTATTCCCATTTGCCACCCAGATGGACAGTCTTTGATCAGATGTTCCAGCCAGCAGAATCTTAATTTCCCTGAGTTTTTCCCCATTTTTCAAAACTCTGAAATATATTTATTAACATTTTGCCATGGTAACACATACTAATGTTGCTGGGTAGGCAAATGCATAAATCGGTTCCCATAGATAAAACCACAAAATGTGACAGGTGTTCACATTAATGAAGGCACATTAAGAGAACGACGGTATTGTTAGGCATGTGCTAGATATTGCAGACTTCTCTAATAAATATTATTGTTCCTTGGTAAGAAAAAGGTATGCAAATAATTGGATGAAAAAAAAATCATGTCTGAAGATAAAAGAAATATTGCAATGGAGTCTAGTCTATTGATCTTTTAATGAACTGTACTGGGCATTTGTGCATGTTTGACAATTATTTCCAAGAAATCTGTTTGGGGGTATTACATGTACAGATGGCATGATAATTAGGAAAGGTTTTTTTTTTCCTCCTGTGTTTAGGTTACCGTGGAAAACTTTCTGAGAGTATTAACAGGCAGAATCCCAGCAAGTGCACCTCGCTCAAAGCGTCTTCTTTCTGATGACAGAAGCAATATTCTGATATATATGACGGGTAATTGTATTTTCCTCAGCACATCCCACAGTAATCACCAAGATATGTTTACACAATCTATCACACTGGCCTATTACATTATGAGCTGTATATTTAATCTTTTTGCATGACTTCACCTCCAAATAGGTTTCGCCAGGCTTGAGAAGACAGAAGAGTGATGTTAGACTAATGACAAAAAACAAGATGACAACCCAGTCTGCTCTGTTTTTGTCAGGTCACGTCATTGGCTGAACACACCAAAAATCTAGAAAAAAGTATTTAGACAAACATTTTCATTATACTGATTGAAGCACAGAAGCTTTCATGTAGCACATAGCCATCAACTTGTTAATGTGCATAGATAAATATAAGCAGTGTTAACAACAATTGCTTGTCCATCAGAACCTATTGCTTATATAAACTTTGTTAGGATAACTAGCTGGCCAAAGGCTGATGTTTATCCAATTAACTGACTTCAAAAGTTTTCTACTCCAGCTGAGCATCTTTTATCTTTATTTACATTTCAACTACTTTACAATTGAATAGAACTTGCTCATGACAGGTCATCATTTGAAGAGGGAGACTAATGGTGACCATTGATAGATAGATAGATAGATAGATAGATAGATAGATAGATTTATCGATAGATATAGTTCCTTATCATCTCATTAATTCAAACCTATTGAACTTCCTCCCCAGCAAAATTAGATTAGCCCCCTCCCTCCTGACCTTCAGGAAAAAACTAAAAATGTGGCAATGGGTCAGTAACTTCGAGCAGTGCAATAAATGATTATGAAATAATACAATGACAACTGGAATAGCCCTGGATTATGATTTGGATTGCCTAATTTTAATGATGATTAACCCACTGCGCCACTGGAGCTGCTGATGGCACAGTGGGTGAAACCATTGAGCTGCTGAATTTACTGACTGAAAGGTCGCCGGTTTGAATCCGGGGAGCGGGGTGAGCTCCCACTGTTAGACCCAGCCTCTGCCAACTTAGCAGTTCAAAAACTTGCAAATGTGAGTAGATCAATAGGTACCGATCTGGCGGGAAGGTAACGACGCTCCATGCAGTCATGCCGGCCACATAACCTTGGAGGTGTCTACGGATAATGCCGGCTCTTTGGCTTAGAAATGGAGATGAGCACCAACTCCCAGTTGAACACGACTGGACTTAATGTCAGGGGAAAACCTTTACCTTAATGATGTTTTAATGTTTGATGTTTTTAACTGTTTGTATTTTAATGCTCTTCACATTCCACCTGTTTAACCTGTTCATGGCTTGCAGCATGGGTTTTTAACTTAACTTATACAGTCATTTAACAATAACATTGTCAAACATTTTATCAAAAACTTAAAGAATATGACATAAAATAAATGTTTCTTTAAAATATGCCAATTTCTGGGTTTTTTCCCCATAAGGTCATGGTGGAAATGGCTTCTTGAAATTTCAGGATTCCGAAGAAATTACAAATGTAGAACTGGCAGATGCCTTTGAACAAATGTGGCAGAAAAGAAGGTACTCTTTCATCCTTGCCTTTCTGTAACTAAGGTTATGAAAATTGTAAGCATATATACTGTCTTCTCTGATTTATCAAAATGTGATTACAGGTAGCTATTTGCAATTCTCCTGCTTCAAACCATGTATAGAAACTGTATAGAAAAATGGAAATATTAATTTTCAGTGAATGGAGTTGTTATTCTCTTCAGGATCCTTTCCTTTGATTTCATTCGCTAACAGTATTGATTTTTTTTCATAATAACATCAGATTAAATCGTTACTACTCAAGAGTTGTTTTTCCCATAGGCTGTTGAAGGAAAAAAAATGTTAATATTGCATACAATGACAGAGAAGAGCCTGCATTTGCATTTTTAAATGAATGGTTAACAGGGATAATTAGTACAGGTAATTTGCCACTAAAATTAATTAGAGAATTATTGACATCACATAAAAGTGAGAGTTAGGAGTTCTTCAGGCTGAAATCCTGTACACACTTGATTTTAAGTTAATGGGTCTTATTTCTGAATAGCCATGTGTCACAGGGTTATGTTTTAAATCACACTGGTTGCTGAGGAGGGTGGAAGGGAAGAAATTTCTTGTTTCTAACTCAGTAGAGTCAGTGGGTAAAATGCAATCCTTTCGATACTGTTGATCTACAAGTGTCATTGTTACTCACCATTGGCCATGTTGCCTAAGAGTCATTGGAGTTGCAGGCCAACAACATCAGGATAGCAGTCCTCAGTGGCGCAATGGGGTAAAACCTTGTGTCAGCAGGACTGCTGACTGAAAGGTCGGTGGTTTGAATCTGGGGAGCAGGTTGAGCTTCTGCCTGTCAGCTCCAGCTTTGTATGCAGGGATATGAGAGACGCCTCCCACATGATGGCCCCTTGGCAACGTCCTTGCAGATGGCCAATTCTCACACATGAGAAGTGACTTGCAGTTTCTCAAGTTGCTCTTGGTATGGAAAAAAAAAGGATAGCAGCACTTATTCCATAGCTGCATTAGAGGGGGTATTTGTAATACCTCATAGTTGGAGGATGGTTAAAATATCCAACAGTTTGAATAGTAACCAAAATGAAATAAATGTTGTTTTTCTTTCCAGGTACAATGAATTACTGTTTATCATTGATACATGTCAAGGTGCATCCATGTATGAACGCTTTTATTCTCCTAATATAATGGCTTTGGCAAGTAGCCAAGTTGGAGAAGACTCACTTTCAGTAAGTATATAGATTTCAATGTATTCATTGATGATATCCAGGTGAAGGAAGAGCTTGGAGAATTAACTCCCCCCCCCCCCTCATGCTGACATGTTGGTTCTCAGCATTGTAATCCAAATAAAATAATAAAAATAAAAATGGACTTTTCCAAGTTTTTAAGGACAAATTAAACAGGAGAATGCTGGCACATAATTGGAACTTTTATTTCTTTTAAGTTTGAATGCTAAGTTAAATTAGCATTTTAAACTGCAGTAGAGCATTGAAGGATAGATTGCTAATGAGAATATACAGAAAGCAAAACTGACAGATTAGTGGGATCAGCAAGGTCATTTCTTTGATTAGTGGAAGCATTCATAGTTGCTTGTCCATGCAATTCATGCAATGTCAAAGACCAGTAATTGCAAGAACTATTTGTTATGTAACATGTGAATATATATATGTGTGTGTGTGTGTGTTGACAGACATTGTGTAACATAGCTATACATTAATAGAAACTTATAGGGGAGTTGTTTGAGAACATGTTTTTAAAGGACCATGTTTCCCTTAGAGACAGAGGTCCACTTGATTTCTAATTATGAACTTTTACAAAATCCTATAATAATTAATTATATTTAAAGAAAGGGAGAAAGATCTGTTAGCCATTTCAATCATCCTGGAGCTTTAATGTTATTCAGGAAAGGGAGCTTCTTCATTTAGTTATCTACAACAGTATGCGTTTGCTTATTCAGGCTGGAACTGTATACACCAATGGTTCTCAGCCTGTGGTTCCCTAGGTGTTTTGGCCTACAACTCCCAGAAATCCCAGCCAGTTTGTCAGCTTGGGAGCTAAAGGCCAAAACATCTGGGGACCCACAGGTTGAGAACCACTGGCATACACTGTTATGCATAAGCAAAGTCTGCAAGCATGCTCAGTGTGGGTACAGGAGTTCAAATGGTGATGATGATGATAAATATGATAAACATTTATTTATACCTTGTTATTGAGCCAAATAGTGCTTTTCACATTGATTGGATAAAACAAATCCCGTCCCCCAAAACACTGTTGGGTGGGCTGGACTACAGTGTGAATTCCTATGCACACTACACATATCCTATTTATAGTGGGGGGGAGGGATTTGAAAGAGCAATACAATATTTAAAGTGAAGAACAATTTAACCAACATAAACTTTCCAGTATTTCATTGGGAAGTGTAGGCCTGTGTAGCGAAATTGCTACTCTATGTTAAATTTTTGGTGTATAGCTCTATATTTACATATGGCAAATAGGGAAGAATAGGCACAGACAGGGTAGCAACAGCAGAGATAGGATTCATTTGCATATGTGAAGCCGATTGGTCATATGCAGATTAGCGTAGGCCCAGGATTTGAAAAAGCTGCTAGGCCAAAATGGCAGTTGGGGAGAGCAGAGCTGAACATTCCAAAGGGGTGGAGCCAAGGTTTTGAAAGAGGCAGTTAGAGTGAGAGAGTTTGAAAATGACAGTTAGGAATCTGTGTGTGAAAAGGATAGTTGGTTTTTTGAGTGCCTGTTAGAAATAAGCAGTTATGAAGATGTGTTAAAGACTTCTGATATAGAGAAGCAGTTAGTTAAATAGAGCTCGAGTTTTAAGGAACATAAAGAAAGCCAGTGTTGCTTTAGTCAGAATATAATTCCGCCAAGTGTGTGTAAAGCAAGTAACATGTTTGTGAATGTGAAACATTGAAAGTCTATTCAGAAAAGTAAACCAAGTAAATGATACTGACTGTAAGCCTCAAGATTGCAACAAAACACAAATGTAACCACAAGCGTTGGAGCCAGAAGTTATAAATAAACTGTGTTACTTTGTTATACAGAAGAGTGTCTCATTGCCTGTGATATAAAGTACAAAGATAAAACAACACACAGAAAGTCCCAGCCAATATAAAAGAAGAAACTGAATCAGTATAAGGCAGTAAAGAGGTTATTTTTATTAATAAGGAAGTAGTCTCTCTCCCTCGCCCCAGCCTGCTTTTGGCTGATGATGTAGTCAAGTTACTTAGGATTGTTGTTGTTGTTGTTGTTGTTGTGTGCCTTCAAGTTATTTCAGACTTGTTGTTGTTCATTCGTTCAGTCGTCTCCGACTCTTCGTGACCTCATGGACCAGCCCACGCCAGAGCTCCCTGTCGGCCGTTACCACCCCCAGCTCCCTCAAGGTCAGTCCAGTCACTTCAAGGATGCCATCCATCCATCTTGCCCTTGGTCGGCCCCTCTTCCTTTTGCCTTCCACTTTCCCCAGCATAATTGTCTTCTCTAGGCTTTCCTGTCTCCTCATGATGTGGCCAAAGTACTTCAACTTTGTCTCTAGTATCTTTCCCTCCAATGAGCAGTCGGTGACCCTAAGTCTAAAGTTTAGAGTAGGGTGGATGGGTAAATGACGTTAAGAAGGCTACATCCGACCCGTGGTCCTTAATTTGGGGACCTCTGCCATAAAAGGATAGGGCTTCCAGACCAACTCAATTAAAACTGTGCAAAATGGAGAATATGGAATAGGATGGCATATGATGAGATAGCCAGAATGCTCAGGAACAGTGGCACCATTTTGTAATCACTGCCATATTTTAAACAGTAGGGAAATTAAGATATATTCTGAGCACACAGTTGAACATGCACATCATTTTAAGTGGAGCCTATTGCCTTTCATTTTATTTCCAATGATGGCCTTTTAATTGTTGGCCATTTCTCTCTCATTCTTTGGCCAGTATTTGGATAATTAGGTCGACCCAAAAGTATAGTGTACCAGCATTATGTTTACATAGTCCTTTCTTGCTCATTGATAAACATTGTTTTGTAATTGTGTACTCAGTAATATAGCATATCTGGTAAAGCTTATGATGGTGTTTTCGTTTTTTCAGCATCAACCTGATCTTGGAATTGGCGTTCACCTGATGGACAGGTATACGTTCTATGTCTTGGAGTTCTTGGAAGAGATTCATCCAGCTAGCCAGACCAACATGAATGACCTTGTAAGTACTTGAGATATAAATCTTGTTTGGGTTCTCCTTGCTTTAGGTTCAGATCCAGCATTCACTTGGTTGCATTGCTGTAGAAACTATTATTTTTGACCATGGAGTCTTGGTAACAATGCTATGCCTTGTTTCACTAACATTGCACACAGTAGTTTAGGAAGCTGTCAATCCATTGCAGGTAATATTATCTTTTAGTTTAATTATGGCAAATTTAAAACTAAAAAGACGTTGTGGAAGCTGCAAAATAGCTGTTTCAATTCCTGCATTACATTGAAACTCTTATTAGCCCACTGCTACTGTATTGATTATTTTGGTAATGTAAAATTCAAAGTTTGTATGTGGAAATTAGGAAGCCTTGATGGCACAGTGGATTAAACCCTTGTGCTGCTGACTGAAAGGTCAGCAGTTCGAATCCAGGGAGTGGGTTGAGCTCCCATCTGTCAGCTCCAGCTTCTCATGCAGAGATGTGAGAGAAGCCTCCCACAGGATGGTATAACATCTGAGGATCCCCTGGGCAATGTCCTTGCAGATGCCAATTCTCTCACACCAGAAGCAACTTGCAGTTTCTCAAGTCGCTCCTGATATGAAAAAAAATGTGGAGATTCATGAAAATCAGTTCTTGACATCTACATATACAATTATTCGTGATGTTTGAGATTTTTGCCCGAGAGACTGGGAAGCTGTTGGATAATCCCATAAAACAGTACTGGGTTGGCTGGATAAATACTCTGATAGAATAAGTCCATGCTCTGATAGAACAAGACTCAACTTTCGTTGTGCACATATTTTAAACTTTTGCGCTCAGAATCCCCAGCCAACCATGGTCAATGGTAAGGTATTCGAGAAATGGTGTTTAAAATATACAAACAGATACAGAAGTGGTTGTTTGGAAAAAACAATTGTTGCTTTAGTATAGGCATGGGCAAACTTGGGCCTTCCAGGTGTTTTGGACTTCAACTCCTACAATTCCTAACAGTCTACCGGCTGATAGGAATTGTGGAAGTTGGTACAAAACACCTGGAGGGCCCAAGTTTGCCCATGCTTGCTTAGATGGTAGACCATGCCTATTCCTGAATGTGGGCCACATGTAAAACAATTTGTAGCTGTAAGTGCAATCCTAAATACCAGTTCCTGAAACCAAATTCCATCGAGTTTGGTAGGAACTAATCTAATAAGCATGCTTGGGATTATAGCCTAGGTGCACATTAGACTCTCATGCTTGCATTAATAGTGAAATGTTGTGGCAGATCCGAATCCCCTGACCCTCTACTAGGAGCTTTCTGATGTGTTATTTATGGAACCTTATTTATTTATGATATCAGGGGATCTTGTTAGGGATACCTTTACAGTGGAATGAATGCTATTATTGCACAAATCAAAATTGGCATGAAAGGAGTTATTTTATAATTTGCTTAAGTGAAAGAGATCCCTCCCAGTACTGTGAAATTTCAGAGGATCAAAACATGAACTCACAAACCTTCCTGTAAGGAAATATCCCCCACATTTTGGTCAAACTGTGGCAGGTCTGAGAGAATAATTTTGTCAGAATCACTTGTTTTCTGTGATCAGAGCTTCTGGAAGAAGAAGAAATAGCCTGTTTCTGCACAGCAATGATTTCTTTATCTAAACCTTTGCTTTTCTTTGGGGCCACACTTTTGGGATGAAAGGCTTGGGAAAATTATGCTGGCAGTCCGTCAAAGTTGTCTGGCCCGTTGAACAATGCACTGATGCTTCCCATTCTTCTCTAGATATGAGTCTTTTAGGTAGGCTTTAAATCCTTGTTTGGAACAGATTCTTTAGTGCATTCTGTATATGTGTTCAGAGGCATTCACTGACTAGTCTACACATTTTGATATTTTTTACCTGATGGTGGTGCAATGGGTTAAACCTTTGTGACAGCAGAATTGCTGACCGACAGGTCAGCAGTTCGAATCTGGGGAAAGTGGGTTGAGCTCCCTCTGTTAGCTCCAGCTCCCCATGCGGGGACATAAGAGAAGCCTCCCACAAGGATAGGTAAACATCAAACATCCGGGTGTCCCCTGGGCAACGTCCTTGCAGACGGTCTTGCAGAGGTGACTTGCAGTTTCTCCTAACACGAAAAAAAAAATCCCTGATAAATAGAGGGAGAAAAAAAAACAATTCAGAAAACTGTTAACATTGTTGAAGGCTTTCATGGCTGGAATCACTGGGTTGTTGTAGGTTTTTTTGGGCTGCATGGCCATGTTCTAGAGGCATTCTCTCCTAATGCCTCTAGAACATGGCCATACAGCCCGAAAAAAACCCACTGTTAACTGATTCTGTCACCTAAGCACTGCTCCAAAACAAGTGATGAAACTGAAGGTTTCTTGCTCTACTCGTGAAGATACCATGGAATTATATGAAATAGCAGAAGGTCAAACTTTTTAGTGGATACATAGTTGAGTTTCCAAAAGATATTTGTAAATCTAGAAAAAAAATCCCCTCTTGGCAAGAGATTCTTGTATGGACATGCACATGCACAGTGCATTCATATCTTACTTTGCCAATTTCAGATGTGGGCCTTAGTTTAAATTAAGACTTGCTGTGATTTATTACTTCATAAAGTAGGAATAATAAATATTTAAATCTCCAATTGTAATTGGAAAGCAGCTATGCAAAAGCATCTATCAGTACTTTGCCTAAGGAGACTGGTGCAACCTTATAGCTAGACATTAATTTTGCAATAAGTAGCCTACATTGACAGGTTTGGTAGTGACAGAAGAGGATCAGTCACTAATGTTTAGCTCTCTTTCTACCAAGAGAATGAAGCTTATTTTTTTTCCAATTGCAACCAAAAGTTGGCTTAACAGAATACAAGTCTGGGATATGAATTTGAGAACAAGACATGCACCAGGATTAGAAAATGCCATTGTGAATGATTTGACTGGTACACTTTGTAATCTGTGCAATTACAAAGTGTACCAGTAATTTGTTGTCTTACTTGAAATCAAAAGCAGTTAAAAGTTTGTGAACAACCATCTGGAAAATAGGATGAAGTGCATCAACCAGTTAGGAATTACAGTGCAGAATCTGTCAATGGAGCAACAAATTTCAAAACACTTGATTTCAAATGGCTCTAAATTCTACTTTTTCAATTATCTAGTTGAAACCTAGATATAACCTTGTGTATCCTCTTGAAAATAGTGGGCCTTACATCTGCATAGGATTAGTAGACTACCCTAGCTCACTTCACAACATTAGGATTCTAGATCCTTTGCTTCTAAATTTGATTTGAAAATTTGAATGTTTTTTTCTTTTTACCTTACCTATGTAAAAAAAATATTTTATTTCTCAATCCTTCTTCAAACTATGACATCTGATTAGTTAAAAATACGATTTTCTGAATTTCAGTAGAACAGCAAATTGTGACTTCTCCAATCTATTAGCGGAGAGAAGTATTCAAAATCTTGGATTTGAGGACTTAAAAGGAAGCATTCTGCAAGTTTGTATTTCATACTAATAGCTGAAATGAATTGGGCTAGACAGTGGAACCAGTTGCTTGCATACTAAGAATGGTTTATGCACCATTGCCCTTCTAGGTTGGAAAGGGGAAATAACTCTAGAAGGATCTGCATGGCATTTTCATAATTTCCTTTCGATTGGAGACAGAGGCCTCCAATCAAGAGAAGGAGTAAATGAGCTCAGCAAGGGGATCCAGCATGACTTGAATCATAATGTTTGAAGTAGTACGTTTGAATTTGGGGACATGGACATTAATGTACTTTTGTCTCTTTTATAGTTTCAGGTGTGTCCTAAAAGTTTATGTGTGTCTACACCTGGACACCGGACAGATTTATTTCAGAGAGATCCTGAAAATGTCCTGATTACTGACTTCTTTGGGAGTGTACGCAAAGTGGAGATTACAACTGAGACGATTTCTCTGGATCCTAATTTAGCTCCTGAGAAGATCAGGTATAGTGCTGTTTACTTTTCCAAGTTCTCACTTCCACAGCTGGATAAATCATAAAATATGGATGAATGTTCTTGAGTTGGTATGATTTTACCTATATAAGAGAAGGCTGGGAGTCTTAATAACTGTGTTATTATTGCCACAAAGCACCTTCAGATAATATTTAGGATGGCAAGTATGCTTCTGAGGTCCCACAGAAGGTTGTAAGCCGCCTTGAGCTGCCTTTCTCTACCCCCCGCCCCAGGGGTAGAGAAAGGCAGGGTATAAATAAGGTAAATAAATAAATAAATGTTGGGTTTTTTAAATATGGAAAATTTGATGCTGGATGGATACAGAAAAGCCCCCCAAAAGATGATGGGATGTAGTGGGATCCGAAGCAAAGATTTAAAGATTTTAGAAGGCCCAGGACTGATACTGAATAATAAATTGCTGTGAAGATCAGCGAATCATTGGAACTGGTCATCAAGCTCTTGATGAAATGTAGTAAAAAAGGGATTAAGGCATCTGGCAGTGTCTGAACAGGATAGTTACAGGATTATCACTGTGTGTGACTAAGGTACTATCCAGTGATCCACAAAAGTTTTCATGAAGAAGGGAGCTAGGAACTTACTAGGCGGAATGGGAGAATATTACAAATTTGCACTTATGTATAGAGGGTTGGAAAGTTTGCAGGGAGAGTTTCCATGTCCACCTTCCTTGCTTGCAGTTTGGAGAATGTGACATACCTGTGTGAATTAAAAATTCAACAGCACAATCAAAGCTTTCAAATGCATTGCCATCCCAGTAGCTACAGAATACAGATTTCAACAGTGTGTCGATTTTATTCATGGTGTTGTGTTGCCATCTGTTGGAAAGTCTTGGGATAAACAAGCACTTGAATGAATGGATTCTATAACCTTCCCCTATCTGCAAGTAATTATGCCAGATGTTGCAAAAATCTGCCATATGTTTATAAAATGTCAGCAACAATAACTTTATAGTTTTGCATTTTTGTAATAATGTGCTTCTCTTTTGGAAAGTTATTATTCAAATTTTGCAGGCTGGCTGTGAGTATCAATGTAGTACTTATTGTTTGTAGCATATTTGACTTTTCTCATAATTTGCATGTTACTGTATTTAATGCAGAGATTTTTGTCTCTGCTTTTCTCCAAGAAGTTCAAAATGGTGTGCATAGTTCCTTAGCCCATTTTTATCTTTAAAACCACCCTGTGAAGAAGGTGATTCTGGGGATGATTATAAAGTAAGTAACTCACTGCATTTTCCAGAACTAGTTGGACAGACTGACCACTTGTGATTCTGTGATGGATCCATAGGGATGGACAAGCTAAAGGACAACCATTCAAAAACTAGTCTTGGGGACGGTTGTGTAAATGGACTTCTATAGCTAGTTCTGTTTGCTACTCAAGTATAAGATTGACACTTCTGGTAAATAAATGAGATAAAAGAGTGAAAGATGTCTCATTAGGTACCAACTTGCTTCATATTGACTGAGCTTGACCAATAACATTTTAAACCATGATTCCTGGTTTGCTTGTTATAAGAAGTCAGAAAAGTTGAGTTCTGTTTTTTCCTCATCCCAGCTTGTGTGAGCGACAGGAAGTGAGGGACAAAGAAATTCAAGGTGTTGTTCAGATGATTTTCTCTTTCTGTGTATTCTTCCAAATCAATGGTTCTCAACCTTTGGTCCTCTGGATGTTTTGGACTTCAGGTCCTACAATATCTAACAGTTGGTAAGCTAGCTAGGATTTCTGGCAGTTGAAGTTGAAAACACTTTGAGGACCAAAGGTTGGGAACCACTGCTCTAAATCCATTTTCAACTGTTAATCCAAATGACCCATTTGGTTATCTGACACATTTATAGGACTTGACCCCTTCCCTATTTACTTCACCTACACTCAATTCTATATAGAGATGGAGAAAGACAGTGGGCTTTTTGGTACAGGAGGATGATGTCTATTAAACGTGCCATCTTCTCATTTGAAAATAATTTTATCATAGCATAGCTATGTTGGTATGACTATATGTGCTGTTTTTGCATGCATTTGTGTTTAAGAGAAAGAGAGTAAAAAAAGAATCCATCATCTTTCCTACTCTAAATTTGACTATAGAGTCAGTATTATTAATCATAATTATGTTGATTTACACTTCCAACATAAAAGTATAAAATATTAAATCTGAACAAAAAGTATTGTCAAAATTTCATGATAGATACAAAACTCAAGAACAGATAACTCTTTTACAACTACAGATACAGTGGGTCCTTCATTTTCAAGGGGAGTCGCATGCAGGACTTCTGTAAAAGTAGAAAAAATGTGTACAAAAACCCTATTATATTATTTTTACCCGAGTTAATGCCTCGTGAGAAATCTCTAACTCCTCCAGCACGACTCTGTGTTCAACCTCTTTAAAAAGTTGACCATAGAATCATGTTGGAGGTCCTAAAATGCCTAGAGAAGTGTTCACTTTAGGAGGCTCAAGCCTAATTTCTCCAGTAGTCAACTTCTAACAGAAAACCTCGGGATTTCTAGCAAGAACATAATAATCAAATCTGCAAATAATCAAATCCGCAAAATTTCAAGCTGCTAATGTGAAGGGCTAACTATACCCTTAAAGATGATAGACATCTTTGATAAACATTTCTTCCCCAAAATAATTTAACTTGCCCTTTAAAGCCACCCGAGCTAGTAGTGGTAGTTATTTCATCTTGTCTTACTAAATCTGATATTTTCGTAGCGTAGGAAGTATTTCTGTTTTCTCTCCTGCATCTCCTGCCGTTCAATTTCAGTGGATTATCCCAAGTTCTGGTATTCCAAGAGAAGAACATCCAATAACTTGATCTTTCTTATATTTGATCAAGATTGTGATCTGAAGACACACAATGGGCTGACTTCCATATTAAAAAAAATGCCATGGTGCTGAAATATCCTACCCTATCATGATCAAGCAATACTGGAATACTGTGTCCAATTCTGGGCACCACAATTCTGGTGCCCAATTCTGGGCACCACATACCAGCCTGGGAGGTGCCCAGGCTGGTATGTGTCCAGAGAAGAGTGACTAAAATGATCAAGGGCCTGGAGAACAAGTCCTTTGAGGAGCGGCTTAAAGAACTGGGCACATTTTGCCTGCAGAAGAGAAGGCAGAGAGGAGACATGATAACCATGTATAAATGTGTGAGGGGAAGTCATAGGGAGGATAGAGCAGGCTTGTTTTCTGCTGCCCTGGAGACTAGAACGCAGAGCAAAAGCTTCAAACTACAGGAAAGGACATTCCAGCTGAACATTAGGAAGAACTTCCTGACTGTGAGAGCTGTTCAGCAGTAGAACACTCTGCCCCAGAGTGTGTTGGAGGCTCCTTCTTTGGAGGCCTTTAAATAGAGGCTGGATGGCCATCTGTCGGGGGTGCTTTGAATGCAATTTTCCTGCTTCTTGGAAGAGGATTGGACTGGATGGACCACGAAGTCTCTTCCATCTCTATGATACTGTGATTCTAAGTATGCTTGTGCCTGATATTTGATTGATTCTCTTTGTCTGCTTGAGATGTACCTAAAACAATCCATGGATCCAATCTAAAAATAGGAATCCTGACTATCTGTTTTAGGCATACCAGAATCCTAATGACTTTGGGTTTGAGTGACTGCTGGTTTGTGACTGTTTCTGTTTCACAAGTACATTGTTACCTCTGATTCTGCCCCTATTTGGGGATGTTATGATTAACAACACATGGCTGCCATATTTGAAGCTTCTTTAGATTTTCTTGCTTCCACAAAAGCCAAGCATCAACAGTTGGGTGTTGTACACCATTATGTCTTCTGGACCCCAATAATCCAGAGCCCTATCTCATTACAATGTGCGAACTGGAGCAGTTGCTAAAACGAAGCCAGTGCATATTCTATACGAAACACCATAGGAATCCTGCCAGCATTATATAATCATGTTCATTCGATACAGTTTTTTCTTCCCATTTCATATTGCAGCATTGTCAGTTTATACTCAGTATGGAGGACAATGAATTCTAATAACTTAAATTAGAATATTTCTTTCCCTACTGGATTGTACCTTTTAATCTATTTTCATCAACATTTGGATATATATCTCAAAAATAGTTGGTTTTCACAAAAGCAACAATAGGGAGGAAGAAAAAGTAATCTTAAAATTGTTATTGTAAGACCATTGTAGACTATTTTCAGATCTCCTACACTACCAAGTTTCAGGTCAGTCTGAGTTATTATTTTTTATCCTATGCCATAGCAACTCTTGTTTCTCCCTCCCTTTCTGCTTACAGTAGTGGAACACAGTTCTTCTGTCCCCAATCTGTATTCAGCAACTGCAGATTTATTACCATTCATAGTTTGTTCCAATTTTGCAACAAGATTCTGGTAATAACAGGCCACATGGGGGAAAATATATTAGTGTAGTCCTGTCTTATTGAGTTCCGTAAGATTTTCTCCCAGGTAAATAAAGTTGCAGTGTATAGAGATCTTTATGCATCTTGGGCAGCCTAGCAAATCTCGGTTAAAAGCAATCTGGGATTGTTTACGACTGTAGTTCTAACTCATTAAAGCACAAAAATTCTATCTTGGGACTGTACCAGCTTTCTTAATGTTACATCTTTGCACCTTCTTGCTACAGCCCGTAAATTGTGTAACCTCCTGAGAAAGAGTGTATTACACTACATGATGTTATACTGGATGAGGAGAGCTGTTCTTCATTAAGCGGTACTGTTGATATCAATATTTCATCACTGACGTGAGCCTCGGTGGGTGTATATAAACATTGCCTGAAGGTATATGTATGTCTACTGTGTTATGCAGTATAATAAACACATAAAATATAATGCATGAGATTATAATAGGTAGGAATAATTCTTCTGAGAGAACTAATATGCCACTGTGGTGAATGTTTTAAAGATAATATGCTTACTTGATTTTGAATGTATGTGGAGTTTGCATCCCTACTATGATTATTTTTGAATTTTGTATTTCCTTCTAACTGGTTTTCAC